ATTGTTATGCAAACCAAATCAAAAGTAATGTAAATACTTCAACATATTTGTCTACTGTTAGCATTTAAATAAGATGACTTACTCCTTCATATGTCTCAGCTTGGTTGTTGCCATAGTACTATTGAGTGTTCTCAATCTCACAGGTCCCAATGGAGTCACTTCAGTGAAACTTCTAGTTCCTACAAATTAATGCACAATCTAATTCAGCTTGCTGTTGTCTGCATTCTGCAGATCTAAAGCATTATGCTAGGACAAACAAAAAGTAAGCAGTAATTCATCTTTTAATTTGGAAATGCTGCATTAATTAACAGTAATTAGGTTATTAATATGGACTGGGCGGAATATGTGCCTACTTCTTAAAAAAGCTATCCATAGCCGAACCTCTAAGCATAATCTTTGAAAAATCTTTCAGGACCAGCTCCTTGCCAAAACTATGGTCACAAACCATGGTCATCCCCATTTTCAAAAAGGGAGACCCTAACCTAGTTGAAAATTACAGACCAATCTCTTTATGCTGCATCATCTGTAAAGTCATGGAATCAATTATTAACCAATCCATCATCTTCCACTTAGAGACAACCTACTCTCTAATAAACAATTTGGTTTCAGAAAAAAACCTATCCTGTAATCTGCAACTCTTACACTGCAAAAACATATGGACTACACAATTCGATCAGGGCAAAGCAATAGACGCAATCTACATAGACTTCTGTAAAGCCTTTGATTCAGTGGTACACGACAAACTACTCCTAAAACTAAAATCTTACGATATCTCTGGACACCTACATAACTGGATAGAAGCATTCCTATCAAACAGACAACAAATGGTCAAAACTGGGAGCGTCCTATTAAATTCTGTACCTGTCAATAGTAATGTCCCCCAAGGCAGTATTCTAGGACCAATTCTTTTCATACTCTACATAAATGATCTCTGTGATCATATTAAGAGCAACTGCGTTCTCTTTGCTGATGATGTAAAGCTATTCAACACCACAGACAATACTGCTACCCTTCAAAAAGATCTTGACTATGTATCAGAGTGGTCAAACAAATGGCAACTTCAACTCTCAACAAATAAATGCTCTGTCTTACATATTGACAAAAAATCAGAAAATAAAATACAGGCTGAATAGTCAAGATCTTGTTGATGATCTAAACTCTGTCAAGGATCTTGGAGTATTCATCTCAAATGACTTAAGTGCTAGAGCACACTGGAACTACATAGCCAAAAAGGCATTAAGAGTTGTTAACCTAATTTTACGTAGCTTTTTCTCTAATAATATTACATTAATAACTAGAGCATACAAAACATTTGCTAAACCAATACTTGAATACAGCTCATTAGTCTGGAACCCACATTACGTATCTGATATTAACACAGTTGAGAAAGTCCAGAAATATTTCATAAGAAGAGTTCTCCACTCCTCTGCTTGTTGCAAAATACCTTATGCCACCAGACTTAAAATTCTAGACCTAGAAAACCTAGAACTACGTCGCCTTCAGTCCAATCTTAGTATATTATATAAAATCATACATTGCAATGTCCTACCTGTCAATGAATACTTCAGCTTCAACCATAACAATACAAGAGCAAACAATAGATACAAACTCAAGGTTAATCGCACCAAACTTGATTGCAGGAAATACGACTTCAGCAACACAGTGATCAACTCTACCTGACTCTGTGGTTTCTTCCCCAAACCCCCAAAACTTTAACCTTAGACTGTCTACTATTGACCTCACTCCTTTCCTAAGAGGTCTGTAGGGGGTGTGCCTAAGCGCACCAAGGTGCCTACTGTCCCTGTCCTATTGTTTCTTTTATTTTTCTTATATGTATCCATGTATTCATAACTATGTTTTTACCTATGCCTATTACCTTGTAAGCAATTGACAAACCAAATAAATAAGTAAAATAAATATTAATATAATTTGGTTTAACAGGTCCATGAAACATAACATTTATTTTTTTATGAGACAGTACATCCCCAAACAATAGGGTTTTATAAAAGAGGCTTCTATGCATTTCTTACAAATGTATATGTACCTCATTTCCTTGAGCAGATATTTATGGAGTCAAGTTGTTTTGTCATTGTTATTAGCCTACTATTTATTCTTCCAATAAATAACACAGTCTTTCCCCTGAATATATTCTGATCATTCCAACAAAGAGTCTAGGAATCATGACATTTCCATGGTATGAAGGAAGTTCCAAATAAGATGTTTTTGTCAATTATTACCAAATAATAGTAATAGAGTTCATGCAATGTATACACAGTTTCGTCAGAGTGATCAGTGATATACTATTTGATATACTATTGAGCATCTTTCCTATATCCCATAAAATTTAATTTCTTTCACATTCCTGAAAGAATTTATTTCACTATCTACCTGATGTAATGTAACTCAGGATATAATTCCTATAATTACTCCCCTAATATTTAGGAAGTTTTTTTCATCTGTTACATTAAAAATTATATTTTGATGGCAACTTCTAGAGAAGCTGATGGAGCAAGCTGCATTCAAAGTCTTCATTTTTAACTTGTATCCCTGATTCTCAGTTTTATCCACCTACATAAAAGTAAAACTACCAATCCCATTTTCTTATCCTATTAATACTTGAAGGGTTTTTTTGGAAAGACTTCATGATCCTGAATAAAAGTTAGCAATTCAAAAGCTATTTTATTGATTTAAAGGGAGAATACAAATGTATTTATATAATTAGCACACATCTCTGTTTAAGTTGTACATATTAGAGGAAATAATGACATTTTCTTCTCCACTTCTCAAGTTTTCATCACAAATTGAATGCCAAAAATATTCCTTACTATTTTGAAATCGAGTCATTTACATTCACTAAAGATACATAATAAAAATTATGCCTACAGTATGTTTGGAAGTAGATTAACTTTTGAAATAATTTAAACAATAAACTTTAGTATGGATCTACCGGTTCCACAAGTTGTGAGAGAAGACAAAGCATTATCATTTAACCATTCTTTATAACTAAACTGCTTTACATTGCAACTTCAAGCATCTAATATTTCGTGAACATTCACATTGATTAATGTTAATAACTTGCTTTAACATGTTATCTAACAGCATCTGTGATCATTATTTAAATCCCACAGACATTAAATAAAATATTTCCTTTGAATAATTTCTTGAAATGATTTAACTCATTTCAGTTATTTATTACTGGAAAAATGTTTACATGAAAAGAAATCATAATTTTAAATCTAAATAAACAGAAATGAATGTTTAATACTAGAAAATATTTAATGCAATTTTGGTATCATAACAACATAGGACATTTGATTGTTGGTCTGGAGTTAACCTTGGAATATGCTAGTCTGGGTGCTGATTACTGGTGGAGAGGTGCTGGAGTCTTTTTGCTCTCTTTGAGCTGATTGATTGTCTCTTTTACATAGTTATAGATGTTGTAAATGTCTATGTGTCTATTGATGGCTGATTTGTCAGAGTGCCAGGCTTCTAGGAATTCCCTGGCATTTTTGGACTTGGCCTGGTCCAAGATCCAACATTTTCCTAATTGAAACTATGGTTAAATCTTTCTATATGTTGTGAAATTAAAAAAAAAAGGTCAGATCTTTTGATTGCCAGTTGGTGTTCATGGATGCATTCTGCCAGTCTTCTGCTTGTTTGTCCTACATAATGATTGTTGTAGTTCTCCAATTATATTATATGACTTGTTTTTTCTTCTGGGGTTGCTCGGTCTTTTGGTTTGCTTAGGATGTTTTGAAGAACTTTGGTTGGCTTGTGTGCTACACTGATTCCATGTGGTTGAAGTCATCTGTTGGTGGTTTCTGAGATATTCTTGATGTAAGGCAGTGTAATTATTTTTAGGGTTTGTGTTGATTGCGCTGTATTGAGTTGAGTGGTCAAGGACTTTTTGATAAAGTTGCATGGTTATCCATTTTGTTGGAATGTGTTTTATTGATGCTCCATTTCCTTTTTCTGCTATTCTGGGTTGCTGCAGTATGTTTGGACTTGTTTAAATAAGGTTCTCTTGTGGGAGGTTCGGTTGTTGTTTTGGTAGTGAAGCACTGGTTAGTATGGGTGGTTTTTCTATAGACTTATTTCTACTTTGCCATTGTGATCAGGATGTCCAAAAAGGGTAGTGAGTTTTTTTCCTTCTCTATTAAATTGGATTCCTTTAAAAATATTATTGATGATTCTGTGAGTGTTTTCTAGTTGCTCCATTTTATTATGGTGAAGATGTCATCTATATATCTGATTCATATTTTCAGTTGTATTTATGGAAGTGCTATGCCTTCTAGATCAGTGTGGTCACCAACCAGTAATCTGCAGATCACTGGGGTCTGCGAGAAAATTTTGGTGGTCCACAGTGCACCCGGATGGAGGAGCTGCTCCAGGATGACCAATGGGCCAGTCCTGTGACTAGAGCTCTGGAATATGGGATCGGCCAGGCAGATCTTGGTGGGGCTGGAAATCTCTGCCATAGAAGGTGGTATGTGCAACGTGCAAGTTTGCAGGTGGTGCAACGTAGTGCAGACCTTCCCAGCAGGAACGAGATAATAATGCTGTTGTGGCAAGGAGTGGTGGTGGCATAGGCGGGCTGAAGGTATTGGTGTTGGCAACCTGAGGCTCTTTCATTCCTCTGCTATGGCTCCCTGTCAGCTGAACCCACCAGTAGCTGACTCCGCCTCTCGCCCTGCCCTCCCAGTCACTCCTCGCCTGGCCTGAAAAGGTAAGGGCAGGGGATATTGACTCGCTCCATATTCCAGAGCGGGAGCAAAGGGTCCCTGTACTTGCTTCATCTCTTGCTGGGTCTTGGGGGTGCTACTTCCGGGCCTTGTTGATGCTGTGCACATCTTGGTCACTTGGCGAGATACATGGCTTCCTCTCCACCCCAAGACACTGGCCCAAACCCCTGATTTCTCTCTGTCGCTGCTTTTGGCACCTTCATGGCCTGCCCACTGCTATCACAGTGCCTTGTGCAACACATATAAATTTAGAGTGCTTCACAATGGGGGAGACGGCATCTCCACATCCTCCTGGAGCCCATTATGCTGCAGACCATTGGCAGCAGCCGGGTCAGGTGAGTGTCTCGGGGCAGAGAGCAGGTTGTGCTTCTTCCCAAGCAACTGAGTTGTGTCCAGCACCAACAAAGGCCAGAAGAAGGACCTGCAAGACCCAGAGAGTGCTAGAGAATCAGAATGAGAGAGAGAGAGAGACAGAGGCAGAGACAGAGAGATAGAGACAGAGAGATACAGAGATGAGAGAGACAGAGAGATGAGAGAGAGAAAGAAAGAGAGAGAGAGAGAGAGAGAGAAAGAGAGAGATAGAGTGAGAGGAGAGTGAGATACCTGTTTTCCATAGAAAACCAGGGAGCCACAAAACCTGGGAAGGCGTGGCTGAGGGGCGTCATATGACTGGATGGGAGTGACATTGAGTTGGCCATGCCCACTCAGGTTTTGTGGCTCCTGATGTTTTGTTTTCTGTGGGAAGTAGGTTCAAATGGCTCTTTGAGTGTTTAAAGTTGCAGAAACAGGTGGCCAAGCTACGTGCCTGAAGGACCCTATCCCATCACTGGGAGTCCAGGCACTTCAGTGAATGGTGTTCTGGATTTGTATTAGTGTTCCGCAGGATTTAAAATTATAAATTTAGGGGTCCCTGAGATCCAAAAGTTGGTGACCCTTGTTCTAGATATTGGATGACGACCTCCAATTGAAGTCTGAAAGCAGTGATCCCATAAGTGTCCCTTTAATTGGAAGTATGTAGTTAATCTTTATGAGATCCATAATCCTGGGTGTTTTGATCTTTGTGTACTCAATTAAGTCAGGTGTATTGTGAAGCAATGCAGTCATGGATTCTTTGGCTAATTCTGGATCTATAGATGTGAACAGGGCTGTGACATCAGTTGACAATGATTTCGTCCTCATCTGTAGTCACATCCCTGATTGTTTGAAGACACTGTGTTGTTGTTGCTATTGTTCATTGCAAAGTTGTGTCCGATCCATCGTGACCCCATGGACAATATTCCTCCAGGCCTTCCTGTCCTCTACCATCCCCCAGGGTCCATTTAAGCTCTGAAGATACTACAGTGGAGAGTTAATGGAGTGTTGGCTTCCTCTTGTGAGATGGCCAAAGTTTTTTATTTTTTTTGCAATGTTGTATGTAGGGGATTCTGGTAGAGATACAATTAGATGGAGAGGTATGCTAGGTTTCTGTATTTTGGAGCATTTGTAGAAGAGTGGGAAGATGGATCCACTGCTTCTCATCTGCTACTGTTTCTCTTTTGTAATTTGGCCTCTCTTAGTGAAATCACTAAGGGTTCTCTTGATCTGGTTGACTAGTTTTTGTATTCTATTGGTGTTCACAGAGTTTCTTTGTCCTCCAGTATTTCTTTTGCTTTTTGTAGGCATTGTGCTCTATTCATAATCACCGTGGTTCAGCCTTAGTCTGCAAATAGAATGGTCCTGTTTTAGGTTTCTGATGACTACGTTGCCTTCTGTTGTAAGTTAATTCTATTCCTGTCTTCTTCTAATCTCTGGAATGATACTTTGTCTAACGTTTTCTTGGACCTCTGTGGTGAGTTTGGTGGTTTTAAATGCCCCTTCTAAGGCTTCAAAAAAAGGTGATTTGTATCACCTTTATTATAGTTGAGTTCTTTTTGTAGAATCCTGTGTGTCCTTTTAAAACAATAGATGTGTTTCTGCTGCACTCTTAGGAGAAATAAACTGGCCAGACCGAAAGTCAAGATATTAAATAAGATCTCAGCCATCAACTATACTTTTTCTTTGTAGATTCTCCCCAATCTCTATTCACCCATCCCCAGCTGATGAGTTATGTTGAACAAGGTTAAACCAAAAGTCAATTCCTTTTCCTCAACTCTATCAAAAGTAAAGCAACAAGGGAGTAAAAAATTACTATGTATTAAACTTTTAAGGAGTCTTTCTGTTAGGCTGATGGTTGCACTTACTTCTGGATCAGGATAAACAAATTCAAGTTTCTTTTACCATGCACAAAACATTGGCTCACATTTTATGCAACAGGCCAAGAATATCCAATTGGTATTGTAATCAAACTTAAGTGTTGAAGAATAGGCTATCTCACCTCCAGAATTAATATCTACAATATTCTCCATGTATTGGACCATTGCTTCGATATCACTGTCCTGTCAACCAAAGAAGATACTCAATTAGTTGTTTCAACAAAAATACTGAAAATTGGGAACAATTCCATTTATTATTACATTGCTACAAGTAAGTTACTGAAGATCAGTAATGCAAGTTAAGAAAAAAAATATTAACATAATCAGAAGGGCTGTTCATAATGGATCTAGAACAACTCGCAGCAGTCAACTTGCCATGGCCTATTTGTCATGGGACAATGTGCCACAGGGCAAGAGTTATATTAATATTGAAGAAATGGGGGTATAGAACAATTAAAGAAAGGATGCCAAAGGAGGGACAAAAGAAATGTGAATGATAAAAATTAAAATAATGTTTAATTATTTTAAATAAATAATTAAATTGAATTGTTCAATTATCTTGTGGTGGGTTGGCCATGGTAAATTGACCGTAGCAAGATGGCTGTGACAAGTTGATCATAATGAGTTGGCCATGGCGCATTGGCTGCAGCAAGTTATCCCATTCCAGTTCCTAAGTACTCATAATTGAAAGACATGAAATTTAACATAGTTAAATTTATAACTAAATACAAATGGATTTGTAATTGACTTCTCATTGACATTGTGGCAGCAACAGCTAGAAAATAGCGGAGCCTCGCTGGGCTCCATGAAATGCAGCCAGCAACACTTGCAGGGAGATCCTATGGGGTTAGGCCACCCTGGAGGAGTGGTGAAGAAAGGAGAGGCACTTCATCGATTGCGAGGAAACCACAATTTTCTCACTGATCCAAAGAAAGCTCTCCTGAATAGGAGTGGGGAAGATGGCCATTTTGGTCTGACATAAGCTGGGACAACCAGAACGCTAAGATCTTGTGCTGGTGCAGTGTGTAGACAGAGCAGTGAAACTGGGTGAGATAACTTCTAACCTTTATCCAAAGATATAACCGAAACTAAAAATTATAAAAATAACCTTCAAATAGTAAGAAAGCGACGACTGGATTTATGGAGGAGGATTAAAGACTAAAAATTAAAAAGAAAGATTACAGTTTAAAGATTCAGACGCAAAAGAAATATTCAAAGGATGTTTCAAACTAGAGAAAGACTGGAAATAGTTGAACAATATTGTGAATAAGTGACTATTGGGAGTCACTGCTTTTCTAAACTTTATTTTTAACTCCCCTGAATGGATGACAGTCAGCTGTTTTAACTTCCTTAAATGTTGGAATTGGGGGCAGGAGAGCCATCTGCTGGAGGAAGAAGATAACTGCAATATGAGAAATTTGAAGGAAAATGCTGAAAGGAGATAAAACAAATAATAGCTGGAAACTATTTGACCTTAACTTTATCATTGCAGACCACTGGGAGACCTGGAAATATAATAGCTGCCTGAAGATGTTTGAGGCAAACTGAGCTATAAAAACTAAAACTTTATTGAACTGTTCATTGAAAGAAAAAAAAGAATAAAAGATAAGTAAAACTTTAAAATTTGGACAATTAGGAAGGAGTAAACTAGAAATTACAAAGACTGTGAGCAGTGAGCAGGCTGTGAGCAAAGCACTCCAAAGCTAGATCAAATCAACTCATCAGAGGGCAAATGGCAAAGAAGGAAGGCATGTCCTTTTTGCACAGCAGCGGCAGTCATGATCGCCCCCCATTTACCTCCTCCTTTCTTTCTCCCCTTCACCCCAGTTCTTGAAGAATGAACTTCCACTTCTCACTCTGTCATAATCCTTCACACCAAAAGGAAAGAGGTGCCACTCTTAGCTTAGTCAGAGGATCTGTGTGCACCAGCCATGCCAAAAGGTAACTGGCAAGAGGTGGATTTAACTTAATGGGGGGGGGGGGCATATCTATATCTATGTATTTTATAATATTCAGTATCTATTTACTAATTTGGCAACTATTTTGTTTCAGTTCAGTTCATTTTATTACTATATAGAAATCCTATATTAAAATAATACATAGAAATTGTACTGAAAATTAAAATCTCTACAGTGTTGTTTGCTGGTAGACTGGATTTTTGAATGAATTGGTAATTTACTGTGCTTTTTCTCTTTCTACACCTTCATTCAATCATCAATTAACTCTCTTGAATTCACAGAAAATGGAAAATACTTAGGCTGGCAAATAATGATATAACTAAAATAGACTTTAGTCTATTTTATTCTGAATTAAAATTCAGGTGGTTCCTTATTCAGAAATACAGAAGCAGATATAGATTTGGGGAGAAGTGTGAGTGGAGAAAATAGGTAGTTGTGTTTCAGGAATAAAGAAGGGTTTCAGTATAAAATTATTTAGAAAATAATTTGCAAAACTGTTGGATCCCAAGAGAAATAGGTACTTGTTATCCTATAGACGTTTGGACCAAATCAGCAGAGCAATGTCAAGAAATGATAAAAACTGCAATTCAAAATATCAGAAGATACAACATTGATTAGGGATTATTGCATGCCCTCTCATTTGCTTCAGGAGTCTCTCGTCTACTTCTAGCACTGAGAGAAAGTAATGTATTTGCCCAAAGCTGGGTACTATCAGTATGTTGATAAAACCTGATTACATATTTCAGCTGTAATCTAAACAGCTAATGCAGTACAAATTCAGAATCTGGATGGAAGAGAATATGCTGAAGAAAAGTTGGCTTTGGGTTTGTGGTCTAACAACTCCTGGAAAGTACCATTATTACTTTAGTACAATTGAACTCTAATCTTTAAATGTGATCTACCAACTGAGGGGCTATCTAAATATTTCTGCTCAATAAACAGGTTGCAACTGTGGCTAGGAGGATTTTTGCGCCAGACTTTTGACTTATTCATCAACAGGCTTTGGATGACCATGCTCTCAGTCTTTGATGTCCTAGTCATTCTTCCTCTGGCTTCTATAACATGCTTTGCATGGGGCTGCCCTTGAAGCAACATCTATAGTATATCTGGGTAACCATGCTGCTTTGTACTTAATATTGGTTTGCTTTTAGGTGTGATTCAAAGTGCTGGCTGTCACCTATGTAGTACTACATGGCCTCAGTTCTAATAATCTTTCATTTTGTGTAAGTTCACTATATAAGTGGTTCTTTTAATTCAGCATTTATTCGAGTGAATATACTTGTGAATATATTCTACATACTGTCTGTGACGCATTCTTTTCTTCCTGTTCACAATCTGATTCTTCACTTGTTTCTGAGCAGGAATCAAATGCATCATTATAATATTCTTCTGCAATAAGAGGATCCTCTGGGAACTCTGCAATAAAAGCAGACTTAATTTGTGAATGACAGTAAATTTTAATGCAACTTACAACCAAAACTGGGACAGACAATTCATTGTTAAGTGAGACATCATGTAATTGTGATTTGCAAGCTTCAATGCTGGCTTCCCTTTTGACTTTCCTTGTTGGAATCCTGAGTTGAAAAATTCCAGTTGGTGGTCATATAACTATGAGGTACTCTGACTCTTAAAAGATACTTTTTTCAGTAGCATCATAACTTTAAACACTTGTTTAATAAATGGACATAAGTCTAGGATTTGACTTTTGAATGAAGGTGTAGGATTATATATAGCTCTTTACAAATGGTTGTAGTCAATTATAGCTGTAGCAGAAAGCATTTCAGCTCCCAAAGTCAGGCTATCAATTTCTCCCTATTCCCTCTATTCATTGTTCCCAATCCCTGTAAAATATGTTTTTGAGGATAGCATTTAGCATGAGAAGCTGTAGAGGTAAACGGAAATCAGCTACTCTAGTTTATGTGATTATAAATGCTTAATATTGAATTCAGACCCAAATGTCTACCAAATTCAATTCCCAAAATTGTGTATTGCAAAATACACATGCAAAATATATTATATTTACTTGGTAGAAATAAATCCTTGATCTTAACACGAATCCTTTCACAAAGAAAAATTAGATAGAAAACATTGATGGGGCATTAAAGGAACATGTGCCTGGGCAAATCTAAAAGGATCTTCTCATTTTGAAGGTAAATTATTAGAGCTAAATAAATGTCTTTTAAATACAATATCATGTATTTATATTAATATATTAAATATAATATATTGGCATAGAATTTATCTTGTAGATTTTTAGTGATTATGATCAGGCAACATGCTGTTTGTTTCTGAGAGTTGCCATGCAACAAGCTTGAAATTAGTTGTTTTTCTGAAAAGAGTTTATGGAGATTATATCCTATAACTCTTGCATTCATTCCTTATACTTAGGCATATTTTTGCATTTAATAAAATCTGACACATATAATATACAATCCAGAGCAACAGTGGCCTGCTCAGTTTAGTCAAGTATTTCATTTTCATGAATCATGATCATTGGACACATCCCTATTTAAGGCATAAAAGATAAAATGAGAAAATCATAATATTGTGTGGAAGCAAAAACATAACTTTAGTACTAGACCTGTAGCATACTTGTGTTGCTGCTGAGAACTCATGGTTGCAGATGTCTGCTGTAAACTGAACCTTTCTACGTATCTTTTCCTTTGTTTTGACCTAGCAACAATTGAGTAAACAACAACTGAGAAAAAAATTCATTTTTTTCTTAAATAATGCTTTGTTGAATAACTTTCACAAATGTTAATTTTCCAAATGTTACAGCAAACTTGTTGCTGCTCAGTATAGATATATAGCCCTGTCATTACATTTCCACTTAGCAGTAAAAACCTACTACAATGTGAAAAAAACATTTGGAAGTCATTTCCTAGGAATCCACTCAAATCTATAGCTAGGCTGGGTCTGGTCAGAGTTGGTCAACCAAGCCATAGTTCTTTAAAATTAACAGACCAGCTGTTCCTCACAAGGAGAATGCAACATATGTCTCCAGTACTTTTAGAGCTTTGGGAAATGAGAGAATGGCTATTTTACTTTACCAGAAATCAGTGCCTTTGGGAGGGCAGGGCTGGAGCCACAGTGTGAAGATAGCTTTCTCGGAGCTCTGGTGAAAGTCGCTGATACCCCCACAGCCAGATGGTCCCAGCGGACCCAAAATGTCCTGGAGAGGCGGGGAGCGAAAGGAGCACATCCTTATCGATCCCAGGGACACTGCAAAGTCCCCGGTTGATCCAGGAAAGCTCCTGTAGCCCAGCAGCAGAGGGAAGCGGACATTAAGCTGCTAGGAAGCTGTGACAGCCCCAGAACAGAAGAATAGAAGAAAATGGTGTGTCAGTTTGGGTGACAATTTTTTTTTTCTGAATTAAGCTAGAGGAGTACCCTAAGGGAAAAAAACTACAAAAAAAGAAAACAGGAAAGTGGAGAGTAGCAGCAAAGTGAAACACATGCTCAGCTTTCAAAGCTTTTTTGGATTTTTTATTTCTCTTTAAAGTGATTTTTTCCCCACTTTTTGACTAACTCGACTGGATGGGATTGGATTGGACTTTAATATAATAATTTACTGAAGAATCTGAACTTTTACTTTTAAACTAAAAGTCTTTGGATTACTTTGTCTTTTTATTTTTACTTTCTGAACTCAATTGATACAGTGTAACTTAAAGATAAGTGAAAGGAAGGAAAAGCTAAGCAACACTGCAATCTAGAGGTCACAGAGATTAAAAATTTAGAATTTCAAAGAATAAACTGTTTTGGCGAAAGGTTGTTCAGAAGGAAAAGAAGATAGAAAGTGAGCACTGAAAACAGGTGCTGCTCTCATTGACTTTGTAAGCAACCGGAGAGTTGATTAGGAAAGGAACAAAGAAAGAACACTGTGACCTTGGATAATATATATGTTTTGGACTTTGGCTTTTTGCATTGTTGGATGTTACACTGAGACACTGATTGAGTTTGTGAACTAAAATTTCAAACTGTAGCCGTTTATTTCCCCTTTTTTCCCTGCCGCTGGTGTGCACTTTGGGCTTTTTTCATTTTTAATGTCTGGTTCTATTTTGAAACATTGACTTTTTTTCTTTTTCCATTTTTTAAATTAATCTTTTTGTTAATAAGAGGAGACAACTTGGCCTTTGGGGTTTTTTTTTCCTTGACTTTTTTGATTTTCTCCTCTCTTTTCTGTTTTTTCCCTCTTCTGTCTAGAAGTGGGTGGATTTATATTCTTCTTCTTGTTGCCCTTTTCTTTTACATTAGATTTTTGGATTTCACATAATTTTTCCTTTTCTTTATATATTGGAGTTTTAACTTTTCTTCTGGCTCTTGGATTTTTTACTTTCATCTGTTTGAACATAATTGGATTAAGGTAGAGAGGAACATGAAGATTTTATATTTATTTTTATTTTTCTTGGAGTTTTACCAATGGATTATAATTAATTGGCCACAATGCAAGAGATAAAAACAATGTTTCAAGCAATACAAGACCAAGGGAAGCGTACAGATGATAGAATTGGAAAAATGGAAAAGAGGATGGGAAAGATGGAAGAAAACATACAACAAATGATAACGACATATGGTGAAAAAATGCAGATGGAAGAAAGAGGTATCAAAACAGACAAGAAAGTAGGAGAAATTGATAACAGATTGACAATGGTGGAATATGAGAAAGGAAAAGAGACGATTGCCTGGGAGATGGAAAAGGCTGGATTTTATCTAAGATTCCAAAATATTGAGGCAGAAAAAGGAGAAATCTCACAGAAATTATGACAGAAATCTTGGCAAGACCCTTGGAGATATCCAAAGAAAAAAAATGAAGGATGGAATGGATGAAATATACCGAGTATATACAAGATATGCGATGAGAAACAAACTGCCCAAAGAAGTACATGTGAGATTTACTAAGAAAACAATGAGAACAGAAATATTACAGGAAGCAAGAGATGATTTACTGAAATACAAGGGAAAAGAGATTAAAGCCCTGAAGGAAATATGAAGGAAAGTGAGAGACCTAAGAAAAGAATATCAATTTCTGACAAAGATTGTAATCAAGAAAGAAGTGAATTACAGGTGGCTGATTCCCGAAGGCTTGACGTTTGTATGGCAAGAACAAAGACATAGATTAGACTCAGTTGAGAGAGCAGAATTATTATTTTTTTAATTTAAAAAAATACTTTATTAAAATTCAAGATATTAAAAAGTTTACAAAAAACAGAATATTAAAAATATTTACAAAAATTTGTATAATAGAAATTATATCGATCTTTCAATCTTTCAATATCATTTTCTTGGCAGTACACTAAATACCATATATAGACATAGAATTTGACAGTTTTTTAACATATTAACTATATTAATTCACTATTCCTCATTAATGTTACTGAACAAAACTATATCATCTGTATAGGTCACTAATTTGAGTGAAAAGAAGAAAGGAATGTCATATTGACACTTAATATATGTATATATCTAAAACATATATTTGGGGTATTTATAGTCTATGTGCTGTAGTTTAATGTTCCACGGGTATGGAGGGAGGAAGGGAACACATTTTATAATTCATTATTACATATTTCTACAGTAAGTCTAAGTAATTATAAATCCTAATCTGGATGTCTATCTAAATCAGTTTCTCAATTGCTACACTTTCTCCCTCATCCTATCTGTTTGCTTGCATTCCAATTTTATTTCCCTTTTTCTTTCTTTTTAAATTCCTTCTATGACCTTTCTTTATTGTACTTTACTGTCTAACCATTGATACCAAACATTCCAAATTAAATAATACTCTGAATCCTCTTTGTCCTTTAATTTCAACGTGAGCCTATCCATCTTTGCACATTCTAAGATTTTGTGGATTATAACGTTATTAGTGGACATCTTCCAAGCCTGCGCCAATGCAGATGCCGCAATTAGTATATGTATAATCAAATATCTAATTCTAGGGGGATATTTTTCTTTAGTGATGCCCAGGAGAAATAATTCCGGCTTCCACTCCAACCTGCAATGGGTAATTTCCTCCAGCCATGTTTTTATCTTGGTCCAATATTTTTTAATTTCTGGGCATAGGCACCAGATGTGGAGGAAGGTATTCTCTTACATTTCCAGCAATTTGGGTTTAACTTGCAAGTTTGGAGGGTGCTAAATGCCATCGGTAAAGCAATTTATATAAATTTTCTTTGTTAGGCAATTCATTTTGTCATACAGGTTTTTTTTTGCCATATTTCTTCCCAAACATCCAATTCTATACTGTGTCCAAATTTTTTTGCCCAAGTTAGCATTGGTCCTTTTACAATTTCCTCCTAGATCAAAATTTAGTAAATAATTGTATAATTTTGATATCATTTTTTCTTCTGGTCCTAGCAATGATTTGTCTAAATAAGTTGTTTTTGTTTCAAATCCAAATTCTTTTAAATCTTTTTTGT